AAATGCATAAATGGAGTTCTAAGTGCTAAGTTGTAGAATCTAATTATTGCGTTATATGCGACAGAATTTCATTTAAAAAAGTTTAGAAATTTCATATACTTATAATTTTGATTTTGCCCTAATTTTCTTTTATAAATAGAGAACCGTCATTAAAGTTTATTCGAACGTCATAAAGAGGAGTGGAGATATTAGAGAAAGTAAGGGGTCTGGTTTTTCTCTTGTTAATTTCTTTTTATCATAATGAATTATTTCAGCGAAGGATAAAGTCGTTGTTACACATTGAAGCGAATTACCACTATATTTTGTGTATTCTTTTGTCTTTATTTTTTTACTATGATCTTACTACTATTGGTAGTATAGAATTAGGGTTTCTAATTCTCACAATTAAGTAACCTCAAAATCAATTAATTTCAATCAATGAGAAGAAATGAGTTAGGGTTTGTGATTAATTCACTTAAAAGAGACTACCACTAGAATCTTTACACTTTTGACTATTAAGATCATCTCTAAGAGACTCTTTATTTTTAAAGAGTATATTCTAACATTTGAAGAGCATCTATAAATTTAAAAAGTTGAAATTTTGAAGTACTCCAATAAACTCTTTATATTTAACACATAATTTTACTAATTTCAAAAAAAAAAAGTTTATCAGTTTCTCTATCTTCTATTTTAACTAACTTTTCTTTAAATTATTTTATTATTTTTCTAAATTAAAAACTGAAACACTTTGAATTCATTTAATTATAGAAAGTGAGTTTGGCTCTTAAATTTGGAGAGGCAAACCTGTTCTCGAAATTAAAATGTTAATTTAAAGAGTCTCCTGAATTATGATTTTAAAAATTGGCTCTTTAAAATAGAGAACATATCAAATTTAAAGAATCTCTTCAAGACATCCTAAGAACGTGATGGATGCATTGAGTTGGCCATGTGTACTTTTTTATCTGTATTCTTAAGAATATTTAACTCGGTGTCCGAAATAAAAATAAAAAAAAATCGGTCACTTCTTGTAATGTTTAAATAAAAATATTTATATTCTCTTTGCTTTTCCAAATCATCTTTAGGTTATCTCTCCTCATATGATTATGGAAAATAATGCTGGAGGTCATTGAGCATTTAAGTGTCATTCAATTTAGTCATTGAACATGAACTTACGAAATAATATAGAGCAAATTGTGGCCCCTAGGGCACATCTCCAAATGGTAAAAGGGGAGGGTGGAGAAATCCAGCTTTGCTTGAGGCTGTCGTGTCAAGGGTTCGAATCCTGAAATATGGATTTGGCTCTTGGGTAAGTGCAAGTGTACAAGCAGCCTTCTACCCTGTACCCTTGGAGGCATAATCAGCGATTTACCTCATTCACGATGCTCTAGGGCAGGAGCGGTGGGGGACTCTTAAGGTTGGGGTTCAACCTTTAATATAGAGCAAATTATGAGTAAGGTTGATCTGTTACAAAACTTTAGTGACATCATGTTACAACCGAATTCTTTTAGGTCAAAGATCAATGGTCGAATTGTCAAAGTTAAACAGGGACTAAAATTTAAGAAAGTATTTTATTGGGGTTATTTTATGACAAAAAAATATTTTGAGGGTTTATGATGGATAAAAATTTTAAGTTTGGATTTATTTTTCTAAATTTGGAAGTTAAGGATTTAATATTTTATTATATGAAATTTAGTATGACTAAATGTTATATTATATGGAGGATGAGGGACTTACCTTGCAAAACCCCACTAATTTGACCATTTAAACCCAATTGTCATTACTTTATAGATATTTTTCATACCAAACCGGGCAGAGAGGTTGGAAACGGCAGAGGAGGAAAAGAAGAAAGAAAAGAAAAGAGGAAGGAAGAAAAAGAAGAAGAAAAGAGAAAAAGAGGAGGAGAAAAAGGAAGGAAAATAGGTAGTTCAAGCTTGATTCCCTTCTCCTTTCTCTATATTTCCTTCAAGAGGTAAAGGAATGATTTTATGTTAAATTTTTAGGGTTTAAACTTGTGGTATAAATTTCAGATTTAAGAGGGTAAGAGTACAAACTGGAGCTCAAGTTTGTTGATTATTTAATCTCCAACTTCATTAAGGCAAGAATACCAATTTTTGGCAAATCCTAGATTTTAAATTGGATACTTGAGTAAGGATTAATTGTGAACATGATTATGGTGATGATATATTAACTTGAAAAAATGGATCTATGGGATAAGATGTAAATTAGATTGGTTCAAGTGGGAATTCAAGTTTCACTAGATTTGAATAAAGAATTGTTTTAATGCTTGGGATGTAGCTAATTATGATAATTTAAAAATTAGTGAAAGGCTAGAAGGTATAATTTGTTTCAATTGTGAAGGAAACTAAAGAATATATTCAAGTGCCGAAAAGTCAAGTGCTAATATTTCATAATTAAATGTGAAGAGATACTTAGTATGAGATTTGTTAAATTAGTTATTTTACATTACATTTCAAGTGATGACATGAAAGCTTGACAAGGCTGGTCAATTTGACCAGATCGTTATCCATAGATTTGTGAGTGGAGAATCTACTTTTCCAAAAAGAATATTTTCTTTTTATGTTATAGAAGCATATTAATTACATGAAATGTCTTATTTTCAAGAATTGGTAAATGAGCATGATTGTTTTGAAATTATCAGAAAATAATTGATGTAATTATCTTACTCTAGTGCACTGAGGGGCTACGGCCGTGTACTAGAGTCATGTATTTAACTCCTATACATTGAGGAGCTACAGCCGTGTGTAAGGGTAACTCTTATTCACTGAGGGCTTACGATCGTGGGTAAAGGTACTTATTATACACTGAGGGGCTACAGCCGTGTATGAGGATGATTATGTTGTTTCCATCTTGTGCACTGAGAGGCTACGACCGTGTACAGAATATTGATCCGACAGCTTTTAGATCATTAGTAGATGTTTTACATGGGGTATATTTGATGTGAGTTTTAAGTATATAGGGGATTATTAGCCTACAGCTTACATTTTCCCGTTTACAGTTCAGCTTATGGATTTTAGATTAAGAGTTCAGTTTATTTAGTTCTAAGAATAAAACTTCCAGCTTATAATATTGAGCAACAACAATATTCCATAGATTTTCATGAATATCAAATTCTTTATATTTGTTATACTTTACAGTTACTTGTCTAGAATTAAGAACAAAGAATTTTATAATGCAATCATGCTTAGTTTAAAAGTGTTGCTAGATTTAAGCATTTCTCAAAAAATTAATAGAGTTAGAATTTTCAGGAAATATGCATAAAAGGACCTCACTGAGTTACAAGCTCATATTTTGTTACCCTTTTTCCTTATCATATAGCAGTCGAGTTGAGCAATATTGGAGCTTGTCGATCCACTGAATTGAGTCACACGTCATTAATTGTATCGTCTACTTTATCATATTAGGTAGTACCTGTTTCTTACGTTACATGTAGTTTATGTTAGAAAAGGTTGTCATGAGACCGCTATATGGTATATTTAGTACATTTGAGAATTGTTGGTAGTAAAGTAAGTAAATATCGAATTGTGAGTATTTTATTTTGAATAGTTTGGATTTTGAGGCACTAGGGTACTTGTTTTATATTATATGTATTGATTTGAGGAAATTAATTATGGATCAAGTGGTTTTAGTCCATATTTTAGAGTAGACTCTGTCAAAATTCTTTAAAATTTCCTCACAGTCAGACAAGTCAATTTTGCTTTGGTGGTGGGTCCGACACTTAGCTGATATCTACCATCGGCACACGACACGTGTAGGATCCATTAAGGTGATTTGGGACGGATCGTGTCACATCATATAAGACAATTTTTGTATTTTCTCGTTGCTTGTTATATTTATCGGAAACTAGAAAAGCTTTTGATTTATTTATATTTTCAATTGCCTACCAAAAGTTGTATAGGTGTTGAATTAAATATTTAACATAAGCCCAAAAAAATATATATATATATCAATTTACATTTTAGAGCAAAAATGAAAGGAGAAAAATCATTATTATATATATTCGATTTAAATCTAAATTTTGATTAAAACCTAGAGTGGTCTCTTTTGACAAGTATAGTTGAATGATGAATTCAATTCAATTTATTTGGTTTTTTTTTTTTAAGATCTGATAAAGATAGGTGAGATTATATTAGAAATTACATAGATAATCAAGAAGTCGAACATTTAACGATGATGGATGAATCATTAGGAAATTGGTATAGATAAATCGTGTACCATAAGTAATCAAAATTCGAACATTTTGGTGAGATGATATTGGTTGATTAATCTAAACTAAAATTTTATAGGGGTGTTCTCAACTAAAATTTTAATGAATTTTAAATGATTATAAATTCTAATGAATTTGGTGGATTTAAATGGATTTTTACAAATTTCATAAGAATCTTATCAAATATGGTGAAATTTCAAAAGATTTACTTATATATATTTTTAAGCTTGAAATCCATCCAAATCTTTTAAAATCCTTTTATTAATAAAATCTTTATAAATCCACTAATTATTGAGGATACTTAAATTTTAAAGGATTTTATTAAAATTTCAATTGGGGACACTTGAATTTTAATGAATTTAATTAAAATTCAATAAAATCTCAATTGAAGATACCCAAATTTAGAATGACTTTTAAAATTCATTGCAATCTCAGTTGAGGACATCCCCCTTAAATTATTAAAGATGAAGAATTTGTCAATGAATATATTAATCAAAGATCATGTACTCATCTGTTCCTTAAATGAACGAGGACTATTCTTTGATTAATTATCAATAATATCAATCAAATTACTTGACAATAACAAAACCCTAAATTCCACAATTTAAGGCGACCTATTCGAAACAAAATCCATCAACCTCAAAATTTTTCAATTTTCTTTACATTTTTGTAGGATCCATTTCTAGAATTCGACACCACAATTTCTCTGTCTTCTAATCCCACAAACTATAACGGGATTATGTGATTTATATCGATCCATTCTCGCGGCCATATTTCTCCAATTTCTTGGTCCAGAAGCCATATAATGGCAGATTTAAGTCCCATCAAAGGGCTGGAATCATCAATATCCGACACCGCACCGCTGCCACGTCCGTCGCTGGCACATGCATTATCCCTTGTCCAGCCTTCCACCAAGAAAAAATGCAAAGCTGTCAAAGTATTTTGACTTTTTCGATCAGTTTTCTGGTCATTCCCCATCATAACTCCGACAGCCTCCAAGTTCCCTGCCCTTCCCAGAGGGCAATTGCCCGACACCTAATCCACCTCCAGCTCTTATGTCATCCGTACGATTTTCGAGTACCGAAGAGGCCGCGTCAACCTCACCATATAGGAAAACTCTGGTACCCTGCCGTCGTTGGTGGTGGAGCTTGCAATAGTAACTGAAGATATCGAAAATTAATGGCTTGGTTTTCATTGAATAATGGTGAGATATATATATACACACACGTACAAGATGTGATTGAGTTGTCGACCAAATATCAATTAATAGCCAATCAAATATTCAAAACTTAGCTAATGACCTGATCTATGAGATTTGTTGTCAATTAAAATATTTACGACACCTAATGAGATAATTATAGAGATACACAATTAATTCCTCTAATATGCCCCCTCAAGATGGAGCTCATGTGGAGAGTCCAATCTTGATCTTCAAAACTTGAAAGCGAGTGCGTGGAAGAGGCTTGGTCAAGACATTGGCTAATTAATCTTCTGAGGACACATAGGTGACACGTAAAGCTCCACTTCGTACTTGATCTCGAATAAAGTGATAATCAATTGTAACATGCTTCATTCTTTAATGGAAGACAGAATTTGAGCAAAGATGAGTTGCACCAATATTATCATAATAGACAACCGGAGCAGCGGGAATACAAACGCCAAGTTCGGTGAGAAGACAACAAATCCTTCGTAACTCAGCAACTGTAGAAGCAACAGCACGATATTCAACTTTAGTGGAGGAGCAGGCAACCGTGCGTTGTTTCTTGGAGGACCAGGAGATCGGATTGCAACCAAGGTAAACAATATAAGCACTGGTGGAGGTGTAGTCATCCTTATTACCGGCCAGTCAGCATCGGAGAAGGCATGAAGAGATAGAGATGTGTGACAGTGCAAGGCAAGACCGTGATCAGCTGTACCAAAAAGATAGCGAAGCAAGCGCTTGATAGCATTCCAATGATCAGTAGTAGGTCGATGCATGAATTGAGACAACTTATTAAAAGCATATGCAATATCAAGGCGAGTGAGGCACAAATATTGGAGACTTCCAACAACTATCCTATATTTAGAACGATCTGTCAAAGCAGTGCTACAAAGAATTGTAAGTGTTGGCTTGGTGGCAAGTGGAGTGGTGACAGATTTGGCCCTAGTCATATTTGTGCGAGCGAAAAGATCTGTGATATATTTTCGCTGAGAGAGAATTAAACCAAAGGAAGGAGTGGCAACTTCAACACCAAGAAAGTAAGTCAAGTCACCAAGATCCTTGATGGAAAATCTTTTGCCAAGAATATTAATAAACTGCTGAATTGCAATGGCATTGCTTCTAGTAATAATTATGTCATCAACATACACAAGGAGATAAACTAGATTATCGCTGCTGTTGAAGACAAAGAGTGATGTGTCTGCATGAGAGTTTGTAAACCCAGAGGCTACAAGAAATTGTCTGAGCTCATGGTACCAAGCCCTTGGTACTTGTTTGAGACCATATATAGGCTTGCATAACTTGCAGACATATGTGGGATTATCACGATCAAGAAAACCTGGTGGTTGTGCCATAAAAACATCTTCAGAGATATGACCTTGTGGAAAGGCATTGTTGATGAAGAGACCACCCTCGACTAATAGCAAGACTAAGAACCTCGTGAACAGTGGTGGGTTTGACAGTCGGACTGAATGTGTCATGATAATCAACACTAGGATGCTGATGGAAACCTTTAGCAACTAGTCGCGCTTTGTACTTGTCAATTGAGCCTCAGGTAAACGTTTTATTCTAAAAATCCATTTACAATCGACAAGATTTTACGTTGAATCAGGGGGGACAAGTTCCCATGTCACATTCCACACAAGAGCATCGTACTCCTCAGACATAGCCTGATGCCATTTAGGATCTTTGAGGGCTTGGGTCAACATGTGTGGTTCAAGTTGATGGGATGAGGTGATGGTAGCAGTAAGATTAAGTTTTTGGATGAGTTTATGGATGTTGTTTTTAGCACGAGTGGTCATGGTATGGGTGTTGGTGAGCGGGTTTGGAAGAGGGGAGTCTGGAGAGAGTAGTGAGGAAGCAAAGGATGGATCGTGTAGGTTATTGTTGGTGTTGGTGAAATGTGCTAAGCTATTGGATGGCGAGGCTCGGTCTACTGAAGTTTTTCTGAGAGAGAGTGGGGTTTCGATTACGGTACGTGAACTTTCAAAGTATGTGCGGTGGATGGAGGATGTAGAGTGGTTAACCATAGTGGGAAGAAATTACGATTATGGAAACCAATTTGGGAGTGTTTCTGGACTTGGTCGACTAAGATGACTTTGAATGGAAAGATAGATTCCACAAATTTGACATGATGGGATGTGTAGATTTTAGAAGTGGAAGGATCAAGACAGAGATAGGCACTTTGGGTGAGGGAGTACCCAACAAACACACAACAGATGGATCGAGACTATGACTAGAATAGGGGCAAAGCCATGGATAGCATAAACAACCAAAGATACGGAGTTTTGTATAGTTTAGTGGTGAGCGAAAAAGGGACTCATAAGGAGAGGAAAGGGAAAGTGCGGGTATGGGCATGCGATTAACGAGATACACAGTGGTTGCAAAGGCATAGTTCTAGTATATAAGTGGAAGTGAGGCGTGAGTGAGTACAGACAGACTGGTTTCAAAATATGTCGATGTCGACGTTTAGAGAGACGATTGTGTTCAGGTGTATGTGGGGGAGATGTGAGATGAGAAATTCCACGAAGGGATGGAAATTGATCTAATGCTTAATATCCCCACCATTATCGGTGTAAAGAGTGATAATAGAGTGTTTGAAGTGATTTTCTACTATTTCCTTGAAACG